GCGGCGTGGAAGCCTGGGGAGCTGCAGCGGGCGGCGTGGAAGCCTGGAGAGCTGCAGCGGGCGGCGTGGGAGCCTGGAGAGCTGCAGCGGACGGCGTGGGAGCCTGGAGAGCTGCAGCGGGCGGCGTGGGAGCCTGGAGAGCTGCAGCAGACGGCGTGGGAGCCTGGAGAGCTGCAGCAGGAGACGAGGGGACCTTGAAGGTTGCAGCAGGAGACAAGGGGACCTTGAAGGTTGCAGCAGGAGACGAGGGGACCTTGAAGGTTGCAGCAGGAGACAAGGGGACCTTGAAGGTTGTAGCAGGAGACGAGGGGAACTTGGAACGTGCAGCAGGAGACGAGGGGAACTTGGAAGGTTGCAGCAAGAGAGGCCTGGGAGGATGCTTCTGCTGTCGGAGAGGCCTGGGAGGATGCTGCTGCTGTCGGAGAGGCCTGGGAGGATGCTGCTGCTGTCGGAGAGGCCTGGGGGGATGCTGCTGCTGTCGGAGAGGCCTGGGAGGATGCTGCTGCTGTCAGAGAGGCTTGGGAGGATGCTGCTGCTGTCGGAGAGGCCTGGGAGGATGCTGCTGTCGGAGAGGCCTGGGAGGATGCTGCTGCTGTCGTGGAGGCCTGGGGAGTTGCTGCTGCTGTCGTGGAGGCCTGTGGCTCTGCAGCAGACGACGGAGAGGCCTGTGGCTCTGCAGCAGACAACGGAGAAGCCTGTGGCTCTGCAGCAGACGACGGAGAAACCTGTGGCTCTGCAGCAGACGACGGAGAGGCCTGTGGCTCTGCAGCAGACGACTGAGAGGCCTGTGGCTCTGCAGCAGACGACGGAGAGGCCTGGAGCTCTGTAGGAGCAGGAACTTCTGCGGCAGGAACGAAAACTGGAACGGAACCCTCTGCGGCAGGAACGGAGTCTTCTGCGGCAGGAATGGAAACTGGAACGGAACCCTCGGTGGCAAGAACGGAAACCTCTGCGGCAGGAACGGAAACTTCTGCGGGAGGAAAAGAAACAGGAACGGAGCCCTCTGCGGCGGCGGCAGGAACGGAGCAGGAGAGCTGAGGAGCGTCTGCTGGGACCCCCTCGGAATAGGAGAGATGAGGAGCGTCTGCCGGGACCCCCTCGGATAGGAGAGATGAGGAGCGTCTGCCGGGACCCCCTCGGAATAGAAGAGATGAGGAGCGTCTGCCGGGACCCCCTCGGAATAGGAGAGATGAGGAGCGTCTGCCGGGACCCCCTCGGAATAGGAGAGGTGAGGAGCGTCTGCCGGGACCCCCTCGGAATAGGAGAGATGAGGAGCGTCTGCCAGGACCCCCTCGGAATAGGAGAGATGAGGACCCACCTCAGGGGCTGCGTGCAGCGTGGAGTCCACCTCAGGGGCTGCGTGCAGCGTGGAGTCCACCTCAGGGATGGCTATAACAGGAGTCTTTAGAGTCTCTAACTCAGGTAATAAAAAATCATACTCGGGGAGCAAAGAAAGACCAGGGATAGAAAGTAAAAAATCTTCCATCTGGGACAAAACAATATCAAAGGAGGACGGGTTTCTTTTAGCGGAATTAAATAATTCAAGAATGGTCTGATTAACATGAAAAATCTCTTCAGGGGAAAATGAATGAAAAAAGGGAATGTCTTTGTGTGGGTGTGGTGACGGGTGCCGCCCTCACCGGAAACCTGGAAGGTGAGGCGGCGGAACACGCCCCCACGGAGTCACAAGGAATATGCTCCGGAGGTACGGCCAGGCTGGGTCGAACAGCCGCGGCGCTGAGTGGCGGAGAGAGGCTGGATTCCGCCCCCACCAGGAACCTGGAAGGTGAGGCGACGGAACCCGCCCCATAACGTCAACCGGACCGGACTCACCGAACCGAACAGGAGTGGACCGGAGCTCCCGCGGGACGCTGGATCTCGCCCCCACCGGAAACCTGGGAGGTGAGGCGGCGGATCCCGCTCCCACAAAAACACCGGAACCAGCTCTAAAGTTCTGCTCGGCCGACGAGACCGGGCCGGTCGCCGCAGACTGCCTCCGGAACCGTCTTCTGCCACTACGGCGGCAGTGGGACGGCGGAAGGACAGAGACGGAGTGGAGCTCGTCCATCATGGCACGAGGAGGGAAAAAGAAAAAAAGGTGAGTGTTGCCGAGAGAGAACCCTGCCCGCTGGGTTCTAGTCTGGTCGCGTCGTACTGTTAGGATTTGTGGTCAGGAGCGAACCCAGAGTGCAGAACAGGGACTCAACTCGGCAGAAATACAAAAATAGGTTTTTAATGATAAATGAAAGTACAAAATAACA